AATGCAGGAGCTGCCCCCTGGTGGTCAGTGCGCTCCCACAGGGGGATCTCTGTTCAGCCACAAGCCAGGCTGATGGCTGCCAGTACAACGGTGGTGGTGGGAGCCTCTCCTGCCTCCTCAGCAGCACTAAGGATGTCTGACTGCAGCTTAGGCCTGCTCCCCGCTGGCTAGTGGACATCCCCCGAGGGCTGCCGGGCTGCCAGAGGGATGTCTGACTGCCAGCTTGGGCCTGATCCCCCAAGGAGCGGGCCTAAGCCAGCAGGTGGACATCCTCCGAGGGGTCCCAGACTGCAAGAGGGCATAGGCCGGGCTGAGGGACCCCCCCGAGTGCACAAATTTTTGTGCACCGGGCTTCTAGTGTGTGTGTGTGTGTGTGTGTGTGTGTGTATAACTTATAAAAAAACTTCATTAATTCATTTTATAAAATGCCTCTTAAGGCTCCAAATTTCTAATGCTTTCGAAATTTAACCATGTTGATGATTTAATTATCTTAATAATATAAAAGTTTTATTTTTACTAGAAAACAATAGTAGTTAACAAAATAATTATTTTTTGCACTTGCCTTTTTGTGACCGTCCTATAGGACACCAATAGAACATTAAAACAGGAGGGAAAGGCGAGACCATAGAAAAACATCTCAGGCCAAGATCATCACGTGGCCTGCACACTGCCATTCTTTTCCAGAATGACTCAACTGCAGATATGTTAGTTTAAATGTTGCCACCCTTGACGTAAGTTTGTTTCATGTCAGATTATTATATAGGAATTATGCCAGTGAACAGAAATTAAAGCATGTGAGTAGTAACAAGTCAAGTTTGTATGGTAACTTTTGCTGGTGCTTTGACGGAATGCCCACAAATTCAAATTTCTCATCATCTTAGTCCTCTGATGGATGGGCCTGTATATCTTTATTTCTCCTCTGAAAAGAGCGAAGGTTTCCTCTCCTGGGGAGATACTCCATCCTGTTCTAGGTCCCTCTCCACCACCACTCAAGGACTAGTAATCAGATCATAAATCCTGGGGCACTCATTTTGTTTTGAGATGGTACCTTCATGATCTTGTTCAAAGAAATCGCAGTCCTGCATCAGGGATGGGAGATGAAATCGTGCCTCACTGATACTTCTCAGTAATGATTGGCAGGTAAAGCCTGAGCAGTGGACCCATTAGAGGAAGAGGAGATGAGTTGCACCAGAAGCAGTAAGCCTTCCCTTTCCCTCTCCAAAAGCCTAGATCTCTTATAAACTCTTTTGGGAAGGGTGCAAAGTTCTGTAGGTTTTGCAATGAGCAAAATTAGAATTTGAAGTTTTGTGTTAGTAGCTACAGGTGGTATTTCCTCCCATCCCTCATATATGAACCTGAAGCAGTTAAATAGTTTCATCATAGTGAATAAAAGCACAACACAAGAAGCATGTACTGTGTAGGAGGCAAGGAGTAAATTACCAGTGGTTCACTGTGGCAAGAGCAGTTGCACTATTTCGTTCCTTTGGTTATTTCCTTGGCTTAAGACTCTTTGGATATCTGATGAAGAGGTACCACAAAGTAATAGGCACAAATAGCTCTACATGTGAACTAGTTTGGGGGTGGGTGTTGAGTAGGCAAGGGAGAGTGGTTCCATATTCCAAGAGAACTGTTGCTTCCTAGATGTGTTATTAAAGGAAGCACTGTGGGTTCTATTACTGGAACAGGGAACTGATCATTTATTTGGTCTGCATGTCAGGTGTTAGTCTAGCCATTCTGCTGGTAAAGATTAGTGCTCTCCCTGTGCTAAAACGAGACAGATGTCACCTGCTTGCGACCTGCAGCTCTGTCCATGGAAGTGCCCTTTGAGCAGCTCCTGTGATTGTAGTTGTTTTTTGTTTTTGCTCCAGGATGTGGTGAGAAAGTGGCCCCATCAGAGAGCGTGACATCTTCTAATCCCAACCCACACACTGATGTCAAAGTATTTGTGTTCTTTCTCCAGAGCACTATGTTCTTCCACCAGCAGTCGCTAAGCTGGGCAAACATGTGGGTATTTTGCAGTAACATTTAGAATATACATTCTTTTCAGTTGAGATTTCTAGTGTTTCTATTTTGAAGGTCAGGGGTGATGTCACAGGCTTAGTCATCAACTGTCTGCGCACCAGAGTGTGTACCCCTCTCCAGTCAGCACCTGCAGTTCTTTTAACATCAGCATGAGGATGAGGAGTTCCTAGGCCTTTTACACATATAAACGTGTATGTATGTGGCCAGATAGTGAAAAGCCACATCAGAGCAAGCACAGAGCTTACCTGAAAATGTGCTACTTCCCATCGTTCCCGCAAGAGGTCAGGCAAGGAACTTCGATAATAATGAATGATTGCTCAGTGAATTGTAGTGATTTGCTTGTTTATAAGCATTCCCTCCCTAGAAGCCTACCTTTCTGTCTTTTTTGCTTTTTCCCCACCTGGCCTCTCCCCTTGTTTCCCTTCCCTCCCTTTTCCTTCCCCACCCCCTTCTTTCTTATTTTCTCATTTTAATATCTTCACAACTCAGAAGACTCTTTGTTTGGAAATGAAGGTTGAGGGTAATTAATCAGGAAATTTCTGATGCTGTTTTCTACTCAAAGCTAAATGCAAATATGAAGGCTTTAGTCATCATTCAGTGGCCATTTACATCTATAGAGAGTACTCAGATGGACTAGAGCAGTGGTCGGCAAACTCATTAGTCAACAGAGCCAAATATCAACAGTACAACAATTGAAATTTCTTTTGAGAGCCAAATTTTTTAAACTTAAACTATATAGGTAGGTACATTGTTATTAACTTAATTAGGGTACTCCTAAGGCTTAGGAAGAGCCACACTCAAGGGGCCAAAGAGCCGCATGTGGCTCGCAAGCTGCAGTTTGCTGACCACGGGACTAGAGGTTGAGATTTAAGAAAGCGGGGATACAAAATGACTATTCTTTTGGCAAAACTTAAATAAATTGCTGTCTTTGTGCAGAGCAGTTAACACTGTATTTAATCTTTGAGACAAGTCTATTAGGAAACTCTTGCCGCTGATAAGTGGCCAAACCAAGCCACAAAACCATGCAGCCTGATTCCAGACCCTGTGGCCTTCACCCTGGTGCTGTGCTGCCTGGGATCAGAGCCCAGGGTAGGATAATGCAGAGCACTGGGTGGTGACCGTGTGAATGAGGAAAATGGAAGGCACTGAGAGGGAGGCACACTCAGTGGTACGCAGACAGCTGATGACTAAGACAGTGACAGGTGAGTAGGCGGCATCTGTATTAGTCTTGAGGGCCGATTTTGACGGTGGTGATCAGGAGTGAGTTTTCCTCTCATAGAGGATATGAGGTGAGTAGCCGCTGGGGCTGGAAAGCAGGTTGAGGAAATACGTGGTCTAGTGTAGTTGGAGAAGGGGATCTGCACAGGCTGCAGCCAGGTTTTGCCAGCCCCATTTCACGGGTGGGAGGGTGTTGAGCAGCTTTGTGGCAAGAGCTCTAGAGGGCACAACTTAATGAGGCAATAGTTTGAAGAAAGGAATGCTAGAAGCAGGAAGAATAATTAGGAGACTGTATTTTTTTATTGCAGCGTAACAGTATTACCACAAACTTAGCAGCTTAAAACAGCACATGTATTCTGCACATGTATTCTGTCACTGTTTCTGCGCCAGGAGTCCAGGCACTGCTTAACTAGGTTCTCACTGTAGGGTCTAAGTCTGTAATCAACGTGTTCACTGGGTTGTATTTCTGAGGTAGGTATCAGGATAATCCTTAGTAGTTTCATCTGAGGCTCAAGTAGGAAAGATTAGCTTTTGTTGGCAGAATTCAGTAAGTTTTATACAAGGACTTCAGTTTCTTGCTAGCTGCCCACCCACGGCTATCTCAGCTCCTGCAGACCGTTTCTCCATGAGCACCCCACACTGGGATCCACACATGCTGGCCTGCCTTTTCAGTGCCAGCAAGGAAGTGAGACACTTCAGCTAAACTATAACCCTGCATATCTAATCACCTGTGTCCTGTCACCTTTCCACATTCTGTCAGAAGTCAGTCACAGGTCATTCACACGCTCAAGGGGAGAGGACTATCCAAGACCATGAACATCAGAAAACACAGATCTTAGAGAGGCTGCTCTGGTGACAGACAAATGTAGTTGATGACATACTCAGGAGTGTGAACTGAGGTGGTATTAATGCAAATAGGAAGACTTAGTTTCAACAATTATGTCTCCGGCCCAGCCAGCGTGGTGCAGTGATTAAGCATTGACCTATGAACCAGGAGGTCAGGGTTCGATTCCTGGTCAGGGCATATGCCCGGGTTGTGAGTTCGATCCCCAGTGTGGAGTGTGCAGGAGGCAGCTGATCAATGATTCTCTCTCATTCTCCCTTCCTCTCTGAAATCAATATATTTTTTTAAAAAAATATGTCTGAGAAATAAAATGATTTCTTCCTATCCCACATGAAGTTCTTTGTATACCTTATCTCATGTAAACCTCAAAATACCTCTTTGAGGTAGGTAACAGGAGAATCCTTAGTTCACAGATGAGGACACAGGCTTTGTAAAGCTAAGTGCCTATATTACATACATCCTAGCTTCAAGTCTGGCATCTCAACCTAGATTTGAACGTAAGATGTCAGTCCCAGAGCTCAAATTCTTAGCTATTTTTCTTTACTTGGACTTAAAAAGTATAAGGATTTAAACACAGATGGATACCTTTTCATGTACCTACTGGCCATCTGTATGTCTTCTTTGTAATGTGCATATTCAGATCCTCTGCCCATTTTTTAATTGGACTGTTCGGGGTTCTTTTGCTATGAGTTGTATGCACAGAGTATTTCTTTGCTCTTAAATTATATTCACTTCTAAAACTTCTATGTGAGCTTGCATTTAATATTTAAATCTTAATTTTTTTCAAGAAAAACATTGGACCTTTTTCTTTAATTATGTTAAGGAACTTCCAAATATGTCGTAGGTGATGACATTAAATTTCTACAACTATGTCCTAAAACACTAAGTTAAATATTTATATTGCATTATTTTTCAGGTGTGAAAATGAAACCAAATTCAAAACAGAAGAAGTATTTTGGGCATATAACTTCTGCCCTACTCCATATTCTTGGACTGCACTTCTGGGCCTTATTTTATATCTCGTTTTCTTCGCACCTGGTAAGCAAGCCTTCATTGTTATTGTTGTGTTTATTAAATTGTCTCTTCTTAGAAGAGACAAGCTACTTTTTTAAAAAAAATCCTTACATATTGCTTTATTGAAATTTAAAAATTTGTATTTCTCAGGAATGGGACCAATGCCTTGGACTGTGAATTCTGAAATATATCCTCTTTGGGCAAGAAGTACAGGAAATGCATGTTCATCTGGAATAAATTGGATTTTCAATGTTCTGGTTTCACTGACATTTTTACACACAGCAGAGTATCTTACATATTATGGTAAGAGGATTTTATTTCCTACTATTTTTAGATATGATTGAAAGACTATATTGTTACATTTTTGCTGTTATGTTTCTGTGATGTGTTCTTGTTCTCCCAAGCCCTTGGAAATGCACCTGGGACAGGTGAGAGGAACTGTCCTTTCGCAAGCAGCACCGCTTCAGTCCCTCAGTGTTATGTAGCCCACCCACCTTCCCAGCCTAAACGTCTCCCTGCTGTCCCCGTTGGAAATCTCCACAGCGTGGCTTTGTTTCATGCAGAAACATAACAGAGAATGGTAGCAAGATGTGGGTGGGGAGTCCAGGCTAATGCTTGAAGATGGCCCAGGACAGGGGCAGGGTCCTGTCCAGAGTGGAACCCGAGTAGAGCTGAAAGCAGCCTCCCGCTGTATCACTCTGCTTTCGTGCCGGGGCACAGGCACATGGTGTCCACAGAGACCAGCACTCACACTGCCAGGACTGCGAACATGTCCAAAGTGTTAAGTAAAAATGTGTGGGGACTGTAACTCAAAATATTGGGAAGTGACTGAGTTAAGGTAAGACCTTGGGAAGGTACTTCAAGTCCATTTTTACTAAAGTGAAAAGACTGTCTTTTCAGCAAGAGGATTTCTTCACTGTATGTTTACAAGTTGTACTAGGATTCTAAGGGATAAAATAGGTTTTCATTCTAATCTCGCAAGCCTCTATGGTGAATATGGAAGGCCTACTGCTTAGACCAGCCGTGGGCAAACTACGCCCCGTGGGCCGGATCAGGCCCGTTTGAAATGAATAAAACTAAAAAAAAAAAAAAAAGACCGTACCCTTTTATGTAATGATGTTTACTTTGAATTTATATTAGTTCACACAAACACTCCATCCATGCTTTTGTTCCAGCCCTCCGGTCCAGTTTAAGAACCCATTGTGGCCCTCGAGTCAAAAAGTTTGCCCACCTCTGGCTTAGACCATTCTCTAATCACCTCCCCATCACTCACCGCATCCCATGCTCTGGACCAGCCGTCGCCAACTGGTGGTCCGAAAGGTTGGCAATCACTGGTTTAAGGAAACCTTTGGAGCAGCAGTCGCCAACCGGTAGCGTCCGCTGCTCTGGACACTTATTTCTTTTTGCAAGGACAGGTTTATTTGCCAGCCCCATATCCCCAACCATAAATTCCTTGAGCTCAGGCCAGGACTAGGCCTTGTTCACCATTATATTCCCAGTACCTTCCAAGGCATCTTATTTATTTGTTAAGCCTCAGAAGTGATGCTTGAATGACTAACTGCACAGATGAATTTTGTAGATGAATATGAGAAACATAAAAATCTATTCCTCCTCTCTTCTAAACATGCTGAATTGCTATTTAACTTTATCATCTTTATAAAACTCTTCTCTCTCCCAATCAACATTTAGAAATATTTTTTTGGAAAGGAAATACACAGGCCTTTCAAACCGGATATATATTAAATATATTCCACTTTATCCCATTTGGCAATTAAAATTTACCTAAGTTCATAAACTTATCTTCCTGGCACCATAAACATTAGCACAATAAATATTTATCCATATTTGCTGATTCTTGAGAATGCTTAAATATTTGAAGACCTAAATGTAGACTACTATCCTGAGAGAGCATTTTTTATAGAAAGGATAGACCAAATAATAAAAATCTACATGGTAAGACTTTTGATAGCAAAGCTCCGCTTCCTTGAATTTATGCTGCCAGGAGAACATGAGCAACAGAAGTAAACTTTACATGGGGCATAGCCAGGCTTCTTTCCAACATCGGTTAGCAGAGCTCTCTGCTTTTTGCATTAAGTCGAGCTTCTATCAGGTGAGCGCACTGGTCCATTTGGTCTACTGCTGGCTAACAGTAGAACAACAGTTCAGTTCAGGTGGGTCCTTCCTGTTTGTTGATCCACATTTTAATCTACATGTTATATGTTAATATTCCTGATTTAACAAATACATACCACAATGATGTATGTCTCTGAAAATACCAGGTCTTCTCTTATTTCCTCCCTTTTTTGTTTCTTACCTCAAATTTTGATTCCTTCCAAAACTATACTGCTTAGGTAGTCGTCCTTAGACCCCATTCAGCAATGTTTATTACTAAAAATTATCATTAAAAATGTCACCAGTATTCCATTTTATGTGGAGCATGTGTGACTAACTGATCCCTTGGAGAGCATTACAATCAGACATGGTCTTTGATTCCCCGTTTTGTGTAATTCAATTAAATATTTATTTTAATTTGAAACTTAATATAGGACTCTAATAAAATTTTCTTCAGAATCAAGCTGCGGAATAGCTGCACTGTTTAACAATCCTGACAGACTCGGTAGAGGCTTTTTTATTTACATTATGATAGTTACATAACTGACTTGCCCATTATGTGAAACAGATCACAGCCTCCTGAGCCTCCCCACGCCTCTAGTTTAACCACAGGTCTCACCACTTACACACCTTTGGCATTTGCCTGCTTTAGATTCCTCAAATCTTATAAAAGGATCTTGTATTTCAATAGAGCTTCCTTGATATTATTTGCTTCAGGAATTTTCCCAATCCATCAAATTGTTTTAGCACTGTCAGATTTGATTAGTCATTTCTAATCATGCCACTACTCCTAAATTGTGAGAGATGATGAATAGTTCCTCAATATTACATTTAGTAAACCCAAACTAGGTTTGCTCTGTTACAGGAGTTCAGCAGCCTGGTTTAGTCTAAAATACTTCATATGTTCCTATATCACCAGCATCATGATCACCGTCCTTTCTTTGTCCTTCTCCACTAAAGATTCCGTTTCTATTCTTAACTCCACAGTTTTGATTATCTGTAATCAAAACACAGGATTTCATCTCCTTTCTCAAAAAGCTAGCTTGCTAGTATCACCTTTTTAATGAAAACCTTTCCAATTCATTAGTCATACTAAATCTTACTCTGCTCTATCTCTAACAGCAACTCTTCTTCCCTTGTCATTTATAGAACTTAGTAATGCTACCACTTTTTTGAGCAACTAACATCCAAAATTCTAATAGGCATGTAACATACATTGTTTCTATTATTTTTAAAATTTCAGTATAGTTGATAATATTACATCAGTTGTATTAGTTTCAGATGCACAATATAGTGATTCAACATTTTTATACCTTACAGTGTGATCACCCCACTAATTCTAGTAATCCTCTGTCACTGTACAACATTATATTATTGACTATATTCCCTTTTCACCCATCTCCGAACCCCTCCCAACCATCTTTCGGTCTCTGTTTCTATAAATCTGCTTTTGTTTTGTTTGTCTGTAGTTTTTTAGATTCCACATATAAGTGAAACTATATGTATTTGTATTTCTCAACCTGTGGGTCGCGACCCCTTTGGCGGTCGAACGGCCCTTTCACAGGGGTCGCCTAAGACCATCCTGCATATCAGATATTTACATTACGATTTATAATAGTAGCAACATTACAGTTATGAAGTAGCAACGAAAATAATTTTATGGTTGGGTCACTGCCGGAAGCCGGTCCTTCCTTGCAGCTTGACATAGTTGCTGCAGGGAAGAAACATCTGCACAGCATATGTTGTCCAGGTCACAACATGAGGAACTGTATTTAAAGGGCCAGAAGGTTGAGAACCACTGCTCTAGATCCATCCATGTTGTTGCAATTGGCAAGATTTCATTATTTTTATTGCTGTGTAATATTCCATTGTGTACGTATACCCCATCTTCTTTATCTACTCATCTATAGATGGACACCTAAGTTGTTTTCATATGGCTGTTGTAAATAATGCATATATCTTTTTGGATTAATATTTTGGATTTCTTCAGATAATACTGAGAAGTGGAATTGCTGGGTCATAAGGTATTGTCTAGTTTTTTGGGGAATCTCCATAATGTTTTCAGTGGCTACACCACTTTGCAATCCTACAAACATGGCACAAAAATTCCCTTTTCTACACATCCTTGATGACACAAGTTACTTGTTTACTTACCGATAATGGCCATTCTGACTGGTATATGGTGGTATCTCATTGTGGTTTTGATTTGCATTTCCCTGATGATTATCTTTGCATATGTCTGATGGCCCATCTGTATGTCTTCTTTGAAGTAATGTCTTTTCATGGTCTCTGTTTATTTGTTGATTGGATTGTTTTCTCTTTGTATGAGCTTCTTATATATTTTGGATATACCATTTGTGAATATATTCTCTCATGCAGTAGGTTGTCTTTTTGTTTTGATGGTTTCCTTAATTATGCAGAAACTTTTTTAGTTTCATGAAGTCCCATTTGTTTATTTTTGCTTTTATTTCCCTTACTTGAGGAGACATATCCAAAAGGATATTACTCAGACTGATGTCAAATAGTTCACTACCTGTGTTTTCTTCTAGGAGTGTTATGGTTTCAGGCCTTATGTTTAAGGTTTAACCCAGTTTGAGTTTATTTTTGTTTATGGTGTAAGAGAATGGTCCGGATTAATTTTTTTACATGTATCTATTCAATTTTCCCAACACTACTTGTTGAAGAGATTGTCATTACTATATGCTTACCTCCTTTTTCATAAATTAGTTCACCATATAAGCGAGGATTTATTTCTGGGCTCTCTATCCTGTTCCATTGATCTGTGTGTCTGTTTTTATGCCGGTACCATCCTGTTTTGATTATTATAGTTTTGTAGTATAATTTGAAATCAAGGAACATGGTACCTCCAACTTTGTTCTTCTTCCTCAAATTGCTTTGGTTACTTATGGTCTTTTGTAGTTCCATATAAATTTTAGGATTATTTGTTCTAATTCTGAGAAGAATGTTGTTGGTATTTTTATAGAAATTGCATTGAGTCTGTAGTTAGCTTTGGGTCATGTAGCCATTTTAACAATGTTAATCCTAGTCCATGAGCATGGTATATAGCCTTCCATTTATTTGTGTCCTCTTTAGTTTCTTTCTTCAATAGCTTATAGTTTTCCTATACACTAATAATGAACAATCAGAAGAGAAAATTAAGAAAACAATCCATTTACAATTGCATCAAAAATAATAAAATGCCTAGGAATAAATTTCACCAAGTAGGTCAAAGACCTATACATCATTGAAAAAAGAAATTGAAGAGGACACAAATAAATGAAAGGATTTACTAGACTCATGGATAGAAGAATTAACATCCTTAAAATGTTCATACTACCCAAGCCTCTGCACATTCAATGCAATCAATCCCTATCAAAATACCAATGGCATTTTTCATAGAGCTATAACAAATAATCCTAAAATTTACATGGACCACAAAAGGTTCTGAATAGCCAAAGCAATCTTGAGAAAGAAAAACAAAATTGGAGTTATTATTCTACCTGATATCAAACTATACTAAAAGGCTACAGTATTCAAAACAGCATAGTTTTGGCATAAACACAAACATATAGATCAGTGGAACAATATAGAGAACCTAGGGGGGAAAACATGCTGTTATGGTCAATTAATCTATGACAAAGTATGACAAAATGGGGTAAAGACAGTCAGTCTTCAATAAATGACATCAGGAAAGCTAGACAGATATTTGCAAGAAAATGAAACTGAATCATTTAAAGTATGAACCAAAACTATAAAACTCCTAAAAGAAAACATAAGCAGTAAACTCTGACATTGCTCTTAGCAACACTTTTTTGGATATGTCTCCTCAGGCAAGGTAAAAATAAAAAAATGGGACTACATCAAACTAAAAAGTTTTTGCACAGTGAAGGAAACCATCAACAAAATGAGTAGGCAGCCTACTGAGTAGGAGAAGATATTTGCCAATGATACATCCTGCATGGGATTAATATCCAAAATATGTAAAGAATTCATACCAAAAAAGAATCCCATTAAAAAATTGATAGAGCCCTGAGCGGTTTGGCTCAGTGGATAGAGCGTCGGCCTGCGGACTCAAGGGTCCCGGGTTCGATTCCGGTCAAGGGCATGTTCCTCGGTTGCGGCACATCCCCAGTGGGGGATGTGCAGGAGGCAGCTGATGGATGTTTCTCTCTCATCGATGTTTCTAACTCTCTATCCCTCTCACTTCCTCTCTGTAAAAAATCAATAAAATATATATATTTTTAAAAATTGATAGAGGACATACATATAGCCAGTAGACAAATGAAAAGATGCTCAATATCACGAGTCATCAGGGATTTCAAATTAAAACTACCATGAGATATCACCTCACACCTGTCAGAATGGCTACCATCAATGAAACAATAGGTGTTGGAGAGCATGTGGAGAAAAGGGAACCCTCAGTGTTGGTGGAATTGTGAATTAGTGCAGCCACTATGGAAAACAGTATAGAGGTTACTAAAAATATATATAACTACCTTATGACCCAACAAGTCCACTTCATTGCAGCATTATTTACAATAGCCAGGAAATAGAAGCAACCTAAATGCTCACCAATAGACTCATAGATTCAGAGAACAAATGATGGTTGCCAGATAGGAAGGGCTGGGCAGATGGATAAAAAAAGGTAAAGGGAATAAGAACTACAAATTGGTAGTTATAAAAATAGTCATGGGATGTAAAGTACAGCATAAGGAATATAGTCAATAATATAACATGTATGGTGTCAGATGGGTATTAGATATATCAGGATGATCACTTCATAAGTTGTACAAATGTCTAATCACTATGTTGTATACTTGAAACTAATATAATATTGTATGTCAACTATAAGTAGAATATTTTTTAAAAAATTTAATTACACCAGAATAAAAATTTCTTAAATAAAAAAATAAGCTTTGTAGTATGTCAGATGGTGCTAACTGGACTAGAGTGGTCTAAGAGAAGGCACAAGGAGACCAATTAGGAGACTGTTTGCAACAATGCAGATGAGGGAGGATGGTATCAGTGCAACGGTTAGAAGTGTCATCTCTCAGATTATGAAAGTAGATTCACCGGGATTTCCTTAACAGATTGGATATTGGAGGGGTATTGGAGGGGAGAGTAAGAAAAATGTCAAGGCTGATTCCAGACTTTGGGCATAAGAGACTGTAAGCGTAGTGTTGCCATGTACTCCATTAAGTCATGAAATCAGCAGTGTCATAATTTGATGTCATTGCAGAAATATAAGATAAATGAGAATGAAATTTCTCCCTCAGAGTATCTCCAGCCTAGCAGACAAGAAAGACAAAATAAATGTGCATAATTATAATACTTCTTGGTTACTATGATAGGGGGCCTCAGAAAAGTGCTGTGAAAACTCATAGGAAAGAAGCAGTTATCTCCAGCCAGGAAGGGGAGGGAAGACCTAAAAGCAGAAGTTATATATGAACCTTGTGTATAGTTCTTGAGTTTGGCATTACATGACTTTAGAAAAATAAATTGCATTATATTCATAGGGTTAGAACAATTAGAGTGACCTGGCTGGCAGTAATTTTTTGGTTCCATTTCCGACCATAGTTAATTATGCTTCATTGACCAGAAAAAAAAGTCAAAACCAAGCCCTCTTTCCATCCTAGGCACACATATACACAGCAGGGCCTCAAATAACTTAGTTGCACTCAGTATTGTTTTGTTACTACATTGATGAGATGCAGCAAGAACAACTCTTATTTATATCAATTAGTCTATGGTAAAATTGGTTTCATTATACAGTTAACCCTTGAACAACACAATTTGAACTACAGTTCCACTTATACATGGATTTTTTAATAAATGCATACAGTACTGTAAATGTGTTGCCTTATCCTTATTATTTTCTTAATATAGTATCTTTTCTCTAGCTTCCTTACTGTAAGAATACAGTATTAATACATACAACATAACACATGTGTTAATCAACTATGTTAACGATAAAGCTTCCGGTCACACTAGGTTTAGGCTATTAGTGAAGTTTGTGAAGAGGCAAAAGTTACATGTGGATTTTCAACTGCACAGGGCTCCTAACCCCACCCTTGTTCAGGAATCAACTGAATATCATCTTGCCTCAGTTCTAAGAACCTACTGAGGACTTAACTGTACATTATTTTCCATCGCAGGAGCCTTCTTCCTCTATGCTGGATTTGCTGCTGTGGGACTCCTTTTCATCTATGGCTGTCTTCCTGAGACCAAAGGGAAAAAATTAGAGGAAATTGAATCGCTCTTTGACAACAGGCTCTGTACATGTGGCGCTACTGATTCTGATGAAGGGAGATATATTGAATATATTAGGGTAAAGGGAAGTAACTACCATCTTTCTGACAACGATGCTTCTGATGTGGAGTAATTTTCAACTGCTGATATATGTGGTTATTAAACAAACTTGGGAGGAAAAAGCAGCAATTGGTGACCTCACTGCCCTGCTTCTAATCTGGTTCTTTCCACAGTCCAGTTTTGGATGACTTCTTATTCTAAAATCCTTGATTAGGAGGAAGATACAATCATGTTGACACTTCTTTTCGTAAGTTGAAATGTAAAAAAATATATATTTACAGAGATTTTAAAATAATAATCATTGAACAACTGTGTGTAATTCCTTCCTGAGATAGTCTAAAATGAATATTGTATTCAGTGATTTCAGTGGTATCCTTTTTTCCTAAGACCATATATAACTATTAGTGGCAATTAAGTCAGTACTAATCTAGCTGAATCATGTATGTGATATAAAGAAGCATTCTAGGATATGGTCTAAGATGTTTTCTATCAAAACCTGGCCTATTGGCCCTAAATTTTCCAAGGACAAGTATCTTATCTGTGATCAGCTATTCGAAAGTAAATTCCATTAAGCTTTCATCAACAAATTCAAGTGCCTCCTACTTGGGCACAGCTGTCTTATCTCCTCTGGATTCCACATTTTGGTTTCTCGTTCCAAGTCAGATCTTGATTGTTCTTCAGAAATTGACTCCACACAGGATCTTTTGAACATTATGAAAAGCAGGTCTTTTGGGGTATATTTTCATACATATTTTTTGCATCAGTGATAAGTGTACATTTGCACAGATAAGCTAGCAAGTTTTGATAAGTATATTTTATTGCTAGAAACGTCAGAAAGAAAAGATTTTTATGGATCCCTAATTGAGTTAGTCACTTAGGTATGGAACTATAAATATAAATAGCACTAGATCTTCAACAGCATTTCAGGGTTGGTTTTTGTACATGCCAAAATCACTTGATACTCACCACACCTTTGCACATCAATTCTTAAGTCCTATGTGTGCCTTCATTTGTGTTATATACATAGCTGCCATCAGACTATTTCTCCCTTCTTTTATTCAAATAATTTCTGAAACAAAAAAGGAAGAAAATCAGTGACAAATAATACTGCTATTGTTGCTATTTATTTAGATAGTGGGACTTATTTTTAAGTTATTTTAACTTTTTATTAATTTTCCTAAGGGTATTGTCACTTTTTTTTTTTACTTAATAGTACTTGTCTTTTTTTTTACTGTAAGAGCATAAACTAATTTTTTATTTTGCACACCCTTTCTCATTTTCCCTGACAATTTACATCCCCTACTATCCCCCCCAAAACAACACATAGATTTGTCTGTGGATGTTTCCTTTTACTCATGTTTAACTTGAATTTTTTCCCTTCTTGTCTAAAAATTGTAGTTTACTATAGGAATAGATTAATGATTCTCATATAGCACACATCTTTAAGAAATGTTGACTTTCTGCATTTCTATGTCTTTTCAGAGTTTATTGGTTTTTATGTTCCTTCATCAATGAACTCTAATTTTTGTTTTTATATATTAAGAACTATACAATATATACAAAGTTACTTGCTAGTTCCAGTGAAATTCTGAATGACTCTTCTTTGGCCAGCTATGAATGCATAAGTTTGATGCATTTTAACATGGCTCTAAACATCTAATAAGGTATTCTTGGGAGTGAAAAGGTGGCTATCGCTAAATTCATTGTGTTTCTGCCAGTCTCCAAGATGTTTTTTCTTCTCTTTAAGTCTGACTTGTTCACATCACAATGTCAAAGCTGAGAATGTAGCCAAAAAGATTCATTCTCTAAGTCACCAGGGGTGTGTGATATGTGCTTTAATGGTCACTTTACTGGTAAAAAAATGTTCTTGCTTTGATCATTACATATAATAAAACATTTATTTGACAGAGTGTTTTTTTCCTTGAATTAGGTGCTTTGACAATTGATTTCTCAATGGATGTTAATATTAATTTGTCCCATAAGAGCAGATGTGATTTCATAGAGAAATTTATTATTCTATTGACATTTCTTATCTATGTAACATTTCATAAGGTAAAGTGAAATGGAAAGGGAAGGGTCTGTTGTATATTAAAATCAAAATATGATGGAGAGAAAAGATATTTAGACCAATAAAGTACTCACCTTAAGAATTCTTCTGATTTATCCAAATAATTGCCTCAGTTCTTCTCTTTATTATATATGTAGCCTTAACTCAGCTGGGCTGAATGCACAGTAACTTTATTAAAGGAGCAACTTAACTCTTATTTTTTTGTAAAGCAGAATATGGCCAGTTTCCCTGATATATGCAAATGGTATTTTCAACTTTATACCCATAAATGCACATTATAACAGGGAAAATTTGCCACAGTCCTCCTCAACCCCTTCTTTAAAGGACTATTTGTTATTTATATAGTGATAAAGATAACATTCCATATCTTTGAAGTACAGAACAGAGAGGCACAGTATAAGAATTATTTATAATTTTTTAAAAACAAATAACTACTTCAAAAGGAACCTTATACAATTAGGGATTATTTTTAGATTCGGTGAATATTTATAGTATATTAAAAATTTAATGTTTGAATTTTGAAAGTTTTTTTAAGTTCTCAGCATTATTAGCTACCACTATCAACTTGAAAACATTCTGTTTGAAATATCATCAAATATATATTTTATAGGACAATTTATATATGGTTTAATCTACCATATTAAAATGCATTAAGCATCATGTATTTAACTGAAATTATAGGTCTGCTTCTAGACATGTTGCAAGTTCAACAGATTTATATTGAGTTTTAGGAAAACATAGTGAAGAAAGCTGTAACCCCTGTTAAGGCTTATTAGCTGAATGGCTGATGAGATCAGCACTAGACTTGAGAAATATAACTTTCCATCTGCATCTGAACACTTAAGTCTAAAAGTGATGTCAGGTTTTAAAGATTTGGTATTAATATTTTTCTTCAATATAAACATTCCTAATAATTTTGATTGATGCACCTTAGTCAATAATTACCAAGCACATGATTTTATGTATATGTAAAATGTCTAAATTAAAAGTAGACTTAAAAAGTTTGAAATTTTGTTCCCAATCATATGCAATAGTTAGTTCACTGATGTAGCTATGAGGGTAATGCTATCAAGTGCTTTCTCATAGCTTTATTTTACCACTAATTAAGATTAAATATATGAATATAAATATGTTTTTAAGTAATTCACTCTAAAACAAATCTGTTAAAGAATTTAGAAATTATTTACTCTAATTTCAAAATCAATTATCCAGAGGAAGAATGAACAGGAAAAACATAAGTTGACAATTTGTCCTTTTTCTTTTTCTTCAGAAAGTAAAATTGAAATGCATTATAATAATCCATAGATCCAGGGGGTAGATATTAGAAAATACTATCCATATGTTATCCAAGACAATCTCGCAATCTAAATGACACTAATATAGTTTATAAATACTGGAATACAGTGAGGGGACTGGAAGGATTGTTTTGATTTTATTTCATAGGCACAGTAATTAAAAACAACATGAGATATTTTATTATAATCAGATTTTTTAAACCATTCTCTTAAATAAAATCTCAAATTATACTAAGCACCCAATAACTGACAGTTGTTGTGACAAATTTTCAATTACCAAATTCAGACCTTTTCACTAACAACAAATACAAGAATGATATACCTGGCCAGGAGCAGAGAATTCATAATATGTGTTTTATAACAAAATGTATTAAATTGTGGATAAAATTTACAGCTCATGTGTAAATGCTGCCTCTAAAAAAAAAATCAGAATTGTTCTGTTTTAATGTCCTTTTTCTGTCATGTTCTATTACTTTTCTTAGCCTCAAGTACAGTAATGTTAATCTAATTGGTGAAGTGATTCAGGTTATAGCAGTGAATCAAAGGTTGGTTCATGTAGTTCTGGGTGGACAATCTTGCCATTTTCTAGAAATAGCATCATTTAAAAATGCCAAACAGCTAACTGCTATCAACTCTCATATATTGTCTCTTAAAGAAGGAAATTTTTGTGTGCCAATAATCATCAGAGAGATATTTTATAAGTATTAATCATGTTCAGAAATACATGAAAGAATTTTATCCAGATTTGCTTGTGAGTGTTAAAACATATAATTCCTATAAATCGTTACTTTGTACGTATAAAATAGTCTGCTGCACTTGAGTGATTTGGTCTGTGGAATGTTAAATACCTACCTTTGTTTAGCAGTAATATTCAGATTTTTGTTTTAGACAGTTAAGTTCTTGTGTTTGTCATATCAATATAAATGAGAAAATGCAGCCTACATGTACTTAAAAGATAAAAACCAGTATTTTGTAAAGTTTTAAAATGTTAGCAAATTTTAATATTCCAGTAGCATTCCATCTCATTTCAAGATTAAAAAAAGATGAGACTGAACTCTAGCCAAAGTAGAAAATTTATACTCTACATGTCCAAACTGGTTCTTAACATTTTTGGACTATATTTCACTTGATGTTATAATATCTTTTATTTATAATGTTCAAAATTCTATTTAGAGGCTCTAATGTATATCTAGACTAAATCTAAACTGTTTTATGCTTTTAAAATATGTTTTCAAAGTATATATTTTATTTTCTGAGTGCATGTTATGGAGTGTTTAATATTCACATGTCTTGGCAAATCCAATATAAGTATTTATTCCTACATGTGACATGAGATATGTCTTAAAAATTATGAATATGTATAATTTCCTTCAAAGTCATTCTAGCCTATGGCTTATCAAAAGTATTGTATATTTTATGGAGATTTAGTGATGTATATGTAAATGTTTTTTAAGTTATTTTATTGAAGTTTATCTTTACATAAAATTAAAATCTTTTTTTAAAAAATGTGTCAGTGCCAGAACTATAAACGGAAATAAATAAAAGTTAAGACAATTCATTCTCATTGATCTTCCTTGTATTTTTGCATTTTCTCTAATTCTTGTCCTTAGATTTTGGGGTTTAGCTTACATAGTAAAAACATCTACAAAGATTTACCTCTACGTATTTATGCAATCCTTCTCATTTTAAAGATATTTTCCTATTTTCATCATGGGTAAACTCATCTTTGAAAAACATTTTATAATATCTAAAAATTGTTCCGAAGAATTATTCTAAATAGTAAATATAAAACTTTAAAATGAAGTGCTTAGGAACCCTTGAAATATTTCTGGTAGTTGTCAGAACAAGATGTTTCCATGAACCATTATGTTGGGTTGACAAAAATACCTGCAGGATGACCAGTTGACAGTCCTTTTGGGACACTTTTGCTCTCCACTATCTTTCTGCCCCAACCGTAGCTTTTATTAGTAACATTATGTTTGATCTGGGGAGCTACCAGACTTATTCCACAGTTAGGGTGGGTCATCCTGAGTCCAGCTATAGAAATAGCCCAAGCAGACCCTCTCAAGACACTAGTCAGCCGTGGGCAAACTACGGCCCGCGGATCCGGCCCGTTTGAAATGAATAAAACTAAAAAAAAAAGACCGTACCCTTTTATGTAATGATGTTTACTTTGAATTTATATTAGTTCACACAAACACTCCATCCATGCTTTTGTTCCGGCCCTCCGATCCAGTTTAAGAACCCATTGTGGCCCTCGAGTCACAAAGTTTGCCCACCCCTGCACTAGATCTACTATAACTCAAAGGCTTACAATGCAGTTGCAACTTACCCAAGGATTCTGATGGCAGCAGGCAAGGTTAAAATACTACAGTCAAAATGACCCTTGACAATCCCATAAATTATGTATAAAGTGTCCACTCACCTGGACAACTGAATAGTGTGGTACTTGTCTGAATCAGTGGTCAGGGGAGTCCTCATGTCATTGTGCAATCTTGTGGGGTAAATGTTGTCCATTTATCAACACTACCACTTAAATTGAGAATATTTTGGTGGCTTGCGCAAGATCATACAGGAGGAAGTGGTAAACTTCTCTGCACTGACGACTCCAACAGTCTTCCTCTTGGTCCTTATTCATAATATCTTCTTGTCAGATCCAGGCAGAAAGATTAAAAAACAGACATTGTGAATACCTGTATTATAACTTAAAGAATGTGCAGAAAAAGAATCACATACCTCATTTTAAACTGGACTACAGACCCAAATCGTGAAAACCTTTCATTTGGGGATTCTTTTCCAAATATGAAGCAGTATATGGTACACTGTTTAAGAGGTCAGACTGAAGGCATATTGTCTAGGTCTGAATCCTAGCTGTCAACTTGCTGCTCAGTAACCTCAATTACACGGAGTTACTCTATGCCTCACTTTCTTTTCTGTAAATGGAGATGTCGTTACTGTCATATATGTGTTGGGGGATCATATCAGTTAATCGTGTAAAGCACTTAGAGCAATGACATGAAGTGCTGATGACTGTGGGCTGTTGTTAGTGTCATCGTCTGTATGCTGTCCCTGATGCTGCTAATGTGATCTCCAAAGTACAAGCAATGTGCTTATAAATTCCCTTCCTGGGAACAATTACTAGGAACAGGAGCACATGGGCTTCTTTGACATATGTCCTACAGGCTGTGTGACTGCATAGCCAGGCTCCCTTCTGACCAGAATAGTTTGAGCTGACCTGGCTGATGTCCCTCTTCCTTTCTCCATCTCTTCCATGAACATTCTTCTGAATGGCACTGTTGATAAGACAGCCTCATTGTCTCCAGATTAACAGCATTTAATGTACAGTTTCTATTTATATGATCTCACTGTCAAGAAACAAAGTAATTTTAGAAAATTTCTCAGTCACCTTTCACCATTTAAAAAATTATTGAAACCCCTCCAAATGAAAACTGACATTAACCCTTCACTAACTGGCTATATTGAAATTAAGTTCATATTACTATAGATGTTATGAATTCAATATGAAACATTGATAGTATTTTTTACATATAATATTTCATGTACTTTTCCATTACATTTATAAAAATTAATTTCAGACAATCAGTACATAGAGCAAATTTTTTACATAAAGGGAAATACTGGCATACATTACTTATAGCAAATGGATACTAAACTAAAAAAACAACAACAATAACCTAAAAACAAATAAACAAAAAAAACTCACAGACAGAGACAACAGTATGGTGGTTACCAGAGGAGGAGGGAACTAGGGGAAGGTAGCAAA